CAAAAAATACACAACTTGTACTTTCGAAGTGATATTAATTTAATAAAAAATTTTTGTATACTGTGAAAAAACGACTTGAATTATACATATGTTTAATTTTATTTCAATAGTACCTCTTATACTATTAACTATCAGATCATATATAAATTGCACTAGGGACCCAAGGCTAGAAACTTTGTATAACCATATGCCACGAAATATGAAGTTTGTACACAAAAAATATTACAATAATACAACCTCTGGGGATTAAAGTTGTATTGTAGCAGTAGTTCCTTGCTACTTAAGAAATTAAGTTATCCCTTACGTGCGGCAAAAAAAATTGTATTTCTCTAATTTCGGCATAAGCACTTCTCTCAAAATTTTTGTAAACTGTATATATAATTCATCGTGTGTTTAACTTATATTTAATGATAGTGATAAGCATTTAAAGTTGTACATAATAATCAGTTTTCCTACCAATAAGCTTTTTATCCTAACTATGAGTAATTAGACACAATTAGGTCCAACTATGACTAACAAAGGAAAGCCTAAATCACTAATTGCAAGAACTTTATTTAATAGAACACCTGCAACACCTGTTAGATAGAGTGACTTATGGAATTAATTCATGTGCAATGTAACACTCAAAATAATTAAGAAAGTCAAACTGGGGGAGTCAAGTCAATGTAGGGCTAAAAAGTACCCGTACATAAAAAAAACTGGCTATGAGTAATATATATATTAAAGTCCCGCATATACCACCTACAAGAATAATTATAAATTATAGCACTGCATTTATAATTCATATTAAACTAATTGCATGACTGACTTCTGAGAATGTTAATCTTATTATATAGATTTACTAGTAATTTCAAAGTTTAACTTTAAAAAAAAACTGATTTTAAACATTTTATTATACTAAAATCACATAAATTATCTTTATCAGCACACAGGTCGTAATATTTATTCGAAAAGCTACTTTATATTTTTATACTAGAGAAAATATTTCTTCGATATTTATCAAGGCATACAAAATAAACAAAATATTGAAAATTTAGCAAATGCGTAAATATTTACTTCGCTGATACAAATACTAAATAAGTAAGTTAAATTCCATTTAAAAATAATCAAACAAAAGTTGGCTACAGAAAGGCTAGCTATTTATCAGAAAACCCCCTCGAGTGATAAATGTATAACATCAATAATTGGTTGTTTCCAGACACGCGAGGTGCTTTACCGGCAGTTCTGCATTAAATGGTGGCGCTATAATGAAGCAGTTATTAAGTTATTAGGTCGGAATATATTTTACCGTGACTGCACATTCGAAGCCAAGGAAATATGTAATATAGATATAAAGCAGTCAAATTTTTTTGAGGAAGAGCTTATGATATCATAGGAACTGATAAAAGTAATATGATGATTTGTAACTGCAACAAAACTGGAACTATTGTAGTAATAATTCCTATTCAGATAATAGATTCAATAAGCATTTCTTTTAAATTCCTCGAGATTTATTTTCATAGTAGAAAAAATTTCTATTATTTTAAAAACTATATATAATGTTATATATATAATGTAATCTCATAATTTATATCAAATGCCGTCGAATACCTCTAATTAATACTATTCAATAAGTTTAAGATTTCTATAGACAACATTTATAAACAATAAATGAATAAATACGAAGTCAAGTATAACTACGAAATGATTCACAACAAACACTAATGGTTTTAAAATAATTCTAGGTTTTAAATTAATAAATTAAGTTAATTACATATTGGTTAAAATTATTATAAACGTAAATTTTTCTGAAGTGCCGACAATAACACATCATTGAATCGCATCAGTCCATACCATTACCCGGCCGAATAAAAACTGAGCGTTATTAGGTGTGATAAGCCAAGTCCTGTAACCTCTACTATTATAAGGCCTAAGTCGCCTTAAGTGGAATTAAAAAGATATTAAATAATTACCAAGATATCGTATTTACAATAACTTTCCTCACAAAAAATCATATTCGAAAAGAAAAAAGCACATATCACATTTTACAAATGTCTGGGGAAAACTATTGTGTTTTTATTTCTGGCTCTTAAGATTTCTAAATTTATCTTCATTTATAGTATGTTTCCACTGGTTACTTAGTAAGTATAACTTAGTAAGTTATACTTACTAAGAAAATTTCGTTAACCATAGAAACAGCCTCCGTGCTTTTTAACTCAAATGCAACCCTTAAAAATAAATTTCCCACAAGTGGGAAATTACCAATATTTAAAATATTTGTCATATGTTTTATATGTAAAATGTAAATAAAACAACTACTGAACTGCAAACAAACGCACTAAGAAAG